CCACCTGTCAGTAACTTCATGGATTTCTGCCTTAGGTTTCTTCCAACCTACTCCTATACCACAAAACATAGCTCGACGAGGCAGTCGGTGGTTAGGCATACGCAACACATGTTCCAACCACCTCAACTGATGAAGTTTCAATACTTCATCTATTGACCTGTCATCCTTACCTAGCACCCGTTTCCTAATAACAGCGTTGCTCACCCGCTTTTCCAAGGATATACGAGCAATGCTTCGAAGACACCTATGATCGAATACTAGTAACCTACGAATATGTTCTACTCTGACTGGCCATGTTTCGGATCCATATAGGAGAACGGAGCGAAATGCTGCGCAGTTGACTCGCCCTCTGATTAATAGACGGATATCTCGCCTGAGCCATAAATGAAGAAGAATCCTCCTGTATTCGTGCTGAGATTTCGTCAGTCACCAGGGGATCAGCTCTGATGAAACTCCCGAGATAAGTGAAGCGGTCTACACCTCCACTCCCTATCTCTAGTTCAGGTGCCGATGCAACCCAATCTTGAATTGCATTTCGAGGGGGGGAAATCGCATCCCGAACATGCTTGCATTGTTGCTTATGGTAGTCAGAAGACTCTGCATTCTGTCAGCGTCTACACCGAGTAAAATAATGTCATCGGCATATTCTAGGTCAATAAGCGAGCCTTCTGGTAGAAGGTGTACTCCCGAAAAATTTGACGAGGATAATGTTAACTATAAAAGGATGTCTACGAGAACGTTAAACAAAAATTGAGAGAGTGGACAGCTCTGACGGACACCACTTGGAGTAAAGAATTTCGATGACAGTTCGCCATAAGCTCTTACCCGACAATTGGTGTTGAAGTAGAGAGCTTGTATGAGGTTAATGTATTTTTCTGGTACACCTTTTTACGACAGGCACTGCCACAGAACCTCACGATCGACGAAGTCGAATGCCGACTTAAGGTCGAGAAACACTAATACTATGGGTCGTCTGAATGTGTGTCCGTGTCCCAGGACCTTTCGTAGTGTGAAATGTGATCTATATAGCCACGTTCAGGTCGAAAACCAGCCTTGTTTTTTTCTAGTCTGCTCTTCACTATCTTTTTTTATGCGTCGAAGTAACAATGAGGCCAATATTTTCGATACTATATTAGTTAGGCTGATTCCTCTGTGATTGTCACAAGAATACTTGTCTTTTCTTATAAATTGAGACAATTAACGACAGAGACCAGTCGGATGGTATTAAGTCCAGTTCACAGATGGTGAACTGGTGAAACTGAACCACCATCCTTACAAATATCAGGAATCCTTAGATCAGTTCCTTCTGCTCTCCCTCGCTTCAGATTTCCTACAGCCTTTTCAAATTCATAAAGGCTCGGAGGACTTAAATCGATTCACCATTCAGGTTGACTGGAGATCGTGCGCAACCGAAGTGTGGCTGAAGGCAGGTTGGATTGAGAATGAATGTTACAATTTTCCTTTTCTGAGATAGTTTCGCTAACAGATGGATTTCTAATAACGGTTTCCTTTATAAGTCGAAACAACTGTCTGCTGTTGCCTATTGCCGCTGCCTTTTCCATCTCTCTAGCTTTCGCTGCCCACCAATATTCACGTTCATTGCGTAGGCTTTTTATCAGCCTGCGCTTAAACTGTCTTCGTTCCTCATTATGTTCAGAGCCAGGTGGGATACGTTTTCTAGCATCCATCAGTTCGGTCGATGCTACTGAGATCCACGGCTTCTTCCTAACCTTATGGTTTACCTTATTAGAAGATATCACAGGTGTTTCCACAGCCTCTTTGATATCATTCCAATCTGCCTCCGGATGCGAATCGCTTACGTGTTCGCCTAACTGTCTTTCTTGTTGTTCCTGAAATATATGCATAGCTCTACTGTCATTAGGTAGAACCCTAAGAGGTTTCCTTGCAGTGTCTTTCCAACGTCCGGTAGGTCGCAAGCAAATACACGCTCGCACTAGGGCATGATCTGAATCTCGACATTTGCCCCAGAACGAGCAACAGTCCTTTATCGAACCTCTCCATCGGTGGCTCATGGCAATATGCTCTATTTGTGACGATTTGGGGGGTCGCTAGGTCAAGAGATGCTTTTCCTTATGCCTAAAGTTAGTGTATGCTAGGAATAGTCGGTTATCTGAGCACAGTTGCAACAGACGGTGGCCACTGTCTGTTCTCTGATCCGTGACACCATAACATCCACCAAGGTGTCTTTCATTTTCACTTAGTCTACCTACTTGAGCGTTAAAGTCACCAGCCATTGTAACTATATCAGAGCGCCTAACTTTTTGGAGGAGGTCCGAAAGCTTTCTGTAAAACTCATCTTTAACCTCGTCTGAACTGCAGTCAGTGGGGTCATGGGCAGATACGACGAAGAAGCAACGGTGAGTGTTCCTATCCTTCCGAGTCCTTACTGTCCCGTTTAGTCGGACAGCACACAATCGACTATCAACAGGGATCCAGTTCAGGAGAGATTGTTCTGCTCTACGACTCAATACTATACCTACGCCGGCGAGACCCCTGGAAGCAGCATCAGGGCTACCGGATACACAAAGAGTAAATCGGGCTGCTTCTTTATTTTGATAAGGTGGAATCAGGTTAAAGACTTTACTAGGATCCTGTATTCGCGTTTTCGAGGCGCAGCATGCTTTGATGGCGCGAGATTCTAATGTCCTAGCTAGGAAGCCTGTTGCCCTTTTCGACACAATGTAATTTAGAATGGTGTTTCAGGAGACCAGAAGAGTTAGTCGTGAAGATAAGGAGGATATTAGGAGGTATAGAAAGGATTTGATTGTGGCCAGTTTAATCTCGTGTGCTTTATTGGGTATCGGGGCGGATGTTACTTCCCGGCTGCCCACACCGTGGAAGGTTATTTTTTGAGGAACCTGAAGAGGAAAGTAGATTAGTGTTGGTCTTAACGACCTGGGAGCATGACCGCAGAGTCCAAGGGACAACTGCTTGAGGCCGATCACTCACGGCCTCTTTAGGAAAGGTTTTTTGAGTATTAGCTCCGCTCTTGAAAGCCCTTAGTGGGCACCCTTACCACCGGAGACGGAAATCCGTGAGGTGTGACATTTTTAGGATCGAACTTTTCTAACCCTTCCTTCCTTGTGAGAAGGCGGCATCGCTGCAGATGCTGGTTGTCCTTACTGCTCTCACACCTCTCTACAGTCAGCAGTACGACTTCGCCCTTTTACTTTGAGTAGCTTTTTTTAGTCTGATCGTTCTCCGGACGACCTGCCTGGCATGGTCGCACCTTCAGGGACATATATTCCAGATAATATAGCTCGTTTGGGTCATCACGATAGGCAAGCCCGGTCACCACGTCAATGTGACAGCTACGGTCGGGACTGAGTAGTCAATATCGAATCAGAAAGTGAATCTCAGTGTCATTTGTAGTGCATAAGAATTCAAACTAATAGTTTAAATAAAATAATTTTTGACTTTATCATTTATCTCTGACAATTTAAAACGGCTTATTATTTATTTGTAATTTTATGTCTCTGAAAACGAAGCTAATTAGGCTATTTCGTTTGTAAAATATGGATTTTTTCTATAGTGTCACGAACAAAATTTATTTAAGGTGTAAGTATGGTAAAGTTACACATAGTAAACCTACTGTTGTTCTTAACTGGTTTATTTCTTATCATTAATGCAGATAATGATTAATTATAGAGATATATTTTAAAAATAAACAGTACAAGTTTGTGACACATTAAATATTTTATCACCTAATGATATATATATATAATTTCAAAAAATAAATCAGGTCTCTTGTGTTTCCATCAAAACTGAATATTTGGTTATTATAATGCGGGCCAAAATTTCTCAGTCTTTTTTATAATCTCTTCACAAGGCTTACTTTTTACTAACTACACTTCTTTTTCTTTTGTATCTATTTCGAATTAGTTTAAATTGAGAAATATACAGTCTTTTAGAGTGTCCTATGTGTATCATTGGGTAAATTATTCATTTCCTCGTTTCATTGTCTCGTTAGCATCGTTTCGATTGTTTTTGACGAATGAACAAAGTTCAAACAATAAACATTAGTAATGGATACTTTCGAGTAGAATTATGGATTTTTAACAATCAACAAGTATGGGCATTTATTGTCTAATTCAGTACATTATAGCATTTTTCATGTAACTGACTAACATTAACAGCAGCAAATTTGGAAACCTTGAAATAATGGACAAATATGTTGTCTTAATGTACAAATGTTTAGTAGTTTGCGTTTGTAGCCCGGCTTAGAATGAAATTCAAGATTCATAAGTTAGGTGTTAGTGGTACAGATTTCCTACATTGGTACAGCTTTGTTGTACAAAATACTTTAAAGGGGGTATACCCTGATCGATCGTTTGAAGGATAACTACTCATTGTATTCTTTAAAATTGATTTTAATGTTCTTACTTTTATAAGCAGTAATAGTGTAAATGTTTACAATTCAGTGTAATCTCCAATTTGCAATGAATTGAAAGATTTATTTAAGAAATTTATCCTAGTTTTCGGTCATGTAACAAACATTTTTACCATTTCAAACATATGTGCTTGGTGATTAGTTGTATTGAAAGAAAACTTTAGACTTTAGTTCCATATTAGTTACCACTCTGTAACAAGGTCTATTTGCAGTCTAAAGTGAAATTATGTTTCTTGCCGGATTTCAACGTAGTTTGTTTCGCATGATAGTGTGAGATATTGGCACAACTAACCTGATATGCGTCTCTGAAATTTACAAATGATTGACCGATGGCATATTTATTTAGTCCGTCAGTATTAACCGAATTCTTTCGATCTTATTGTAATCTGAATTCGCTTAATACCTGTGGTAACTTTGCAATGTCTTTGAAAGAGTTCAATTTACATCTTACCGAAAACATAATCAGTATTCAATAATAATCAATGTTTAGCAAAGTCTAAATTAGTTTTTTTAACATCTTTATAACATATTTTTTTTCATCTTAGAATACTATTTACAATGAATAAATAAGTAAATATCAATGAATATTTTCGAAATAAAAACTTTACAATAAGTAGTAATCAATCTTCACAAAATTCATGATTTATTAAAATGAACAGAGAGAGAGAGAGAGAGAGATTTTTCTTCGTTTCTTTTTTATTTTTTTTAAAGTACTGAAATTATTATTACTGTAGATAAAAGATAAAATCCCTGCCTGACACTCGATTTAATTCATTGGAAATATAAACAATATAAAATAGGATGAAAAAAAATCACGCACTAACAACACAAACATAATCAACAGTGTCTTCATTTTTCTTCTTCTTCTTCTTCTTCTTGTTTTTTTTTTGTGTGCAGATAATATCCAAAAATAACTTTTTCACATTAGATTGTGTGAAACTAAATCACACAATCCTAAGGATGGAATGCTGTAAGATAAAGTGAAGATAAAAAATGAAGCAATTAAATTGAAGTATATACATTTAATGGATTAATATTCATTGCAAACATGATAGTTACGTTAAGAATTTATTGAAACAATATTAATTTCAGGTTTATGATTATTTTAGTCTTAACAAATTTAAGTTTTAACAATGACTGATCAATTTGTGACGTAAAAGTTATTCGTTAAAAACCAAGATAGTCAGTATCATGGACTGATTGTCAAGTCTTCGAATATGAATTTTACTCTGTTGTCAGTTATAATTACATAGTTTGTGCACAACAGGGTTCAAGATACGAAAATTATCTTTTATTCAAAATTAAATATTCTTTCAGCATGAAGTGTATATATAATAATAGTATTAGTGTTATTTACCCAGTATACCGTTAAACAACATTAAATGGGCATAAAGTAAGTAAGTTTGTTTCTGTTACGCTAGTATAGTTTGAATAAGATTAAACATGTATTTGAAATGTTCTTCCCAGCAAGTATTTTCATTTCTTGTCCATAATGGTACGATACACACATAAAGTTATAGTAAATGATTTGATTGGTCAGCAGTATAGCATAGTTGAAGCAAATATTTTATGTATGATTCAATCATCTAAAGTGACGTTGTGATTTTTTCAGTGTGTTTATGATCTTTCAAAAGAATGAGAAATGTATATTGATTTCACTTCTGTAATCCTATGTACAAATCTGTACTACATAATTTATGTTTTAAATCATTAAAATGAAATATATTCAAAAGTCTTATAGTTATTGCTAAATTCATGTACCAAAGAACGCAAACTATTGTGATGAATTTTTCAGTAATTTAACAAACGTAATGGGAATAAGAATACTTTGTCATACTAACGCTTGATCTATATAATTAAGAATTCAGCAACAAATAAAGCTTAGAAAAAATTGTTACTACGTACACTTTAACTTTAAACGGTAGCAAATGAATAGAAGTTGAATGTCAGAAAAATTCTATTTGTTAATTTTTGAATAATTGCGAATTCATTATTTAGGCATATAGATTCATCGAACAAACACTTGTCGTTATAATGACACAGTGAAATGAAATGAAGCATGAATTCTCAGTTATTCATTTGAAATGTCAAAACTGTTTACAATATCGGAAGAACATTGGCTTTTGGCTGATTTGGACTTTATTATTAAAGGCAATCTGTTAATTTTGCTTTTATTTGGGAAACAATGGCTATTTGAAGACGCCAATTGTTTGACGTTTTAAATTTAAAAAATAAGTCTCACAACTGCAATTTCGCTCTCTAATACTTAATCAACCAAAGGCAGTAATCGTCAAACTTAGTAACTTAGTCAAAAAACTGTATTGCCATAAACAGATGTGTACTTTCAAGCTAGTCAACAATTTTTCCGAAAAGTATGTTCAATTTAGTTATAAACATTACCTGAAACGTTCTGGAGATCATACAACATTGCTGCCTGAAACAACGTTTAAAATTCCAGGCACAACTTCTGCTTGACATATACCTGATGGCATAAGCTCTCCGTCCAACATTGTGACAACTGAATCCTTAGAATACGGTTCTATTCGTAAAGCACAAATTTTCACAATGTCCATGTATGACGTTGGTTGAAGGCCTTGACTGTTTGACATTGATCGTAACAAAGCTAGTATATCAAATCTGTAATATTATTTTGTAAAAGGAAATAAAACAGTTATATAAATCATGAAACCAGAAGTTTACACTAAATATTTCTTGTTGTATCGCTTCCTGAGTTTTTAAAGTGTTAAATGATACTTGATTCATTCCTTTGATTTCTTTCATGACTCACAAGTATATACATGGATTACCGTATTTAAATATATTTCTAAAAAGTGAGCCTCTAACACCAAACTATTGTCTTGAGTTTTCTTTTATTCTACAGTCACCCGACTGATGTTAATTTAAGACGTATATCATATTCAGACTAATCCAACATATATAAGTATCTCAACTGAAGTTGATTCAACGTCATAGTAACTAATTGCTCATATTCTGAACAAAACTTGGAACATTTAAGATAGTTTCAGGATTTTTATACAGTGTAAAATTAGAAAAAGGAAGGTCTGATTCCATCCTGAAATATGTTGTCCTGTATGTTGATTACAAAACTAAATTTTTCAAAATGTCAATATGTTCGTTACATTTTTAGAATTCAAATGCAGGTTAGACCAAATGTAATCAGATATAATCAGATATAATAATAATAATAATAATAATAATAATAATGATCGCTCTATTCAATATCATATGTGTAACTACAGTAAAATAATCTCTGAGTAACAAGATTCCATATCATAGGCTATAAACTTGTTAATATTTAAATCTGATGTATGAGATAGTTTTTAAACAGTGATTCTCAGCAGATCTACACACTTAGTTTTGCTCTTGTGACACTTTTTTACTTCACCGAAACTAATGTGTTTAGATTTGACTGTGGAAGAGAAAAATGGCACTTCTTCAGTTTCTCAGTAATTACGTTAGCTATAGGTTTTAAAGTTATATCAAAAAATCATAGATGTACTCAGTGAGGAGATCTAATTAGTTAGTTAACACGGTTTTAAAACAGGAAAATTGAGGCAGTAAGTGGTGTGTGAAGATTTGAAGAGTCAGATATTTAAACGGTTGGCATAGCTTCGTAATGAAGTAAAATATTAAAGTAAAATCAAGTTCCAACTGATGTCTTTGACATAAATAATTTAGTATCCTCAGTCAAGTGTTAAACGTACGGAGTTGTTTTTTCTGGTTGTTAAAACACATCGGTAAAACTAACTTTTGAAATGTAATCTTTAAAGCGATACAAAACCAAATCAAGATGAATACACTCCAACTGAGACAAATTACGTTTCTGTTATTGCAGTTGTTATTGAACTGGGTCTATACATCTTTCTGATCTAAACGTAGTTTTAAGAAATTCACTTGCATTTTTCATGTTTTCATGTTAAAGTGAATGTATACTTGAGGAGAAAGCAAAAGGTTTTGATTTTTTTTTAATATTAAAATTCATTTTGTGTGTAAACTTTATCGAGCTATGAAAACGTTTATAGAGTAAAACTATTCTTAATAATTGGTAATTTATAAATATTTGACTAAAACTTTGAACTATATATACCAATCGGCTGATTTCGGATTTCCAGATAATAATTTTCTTACATTTATTGTTTAATAGTTTTTGAATCCTTAATAAACTTTTCTCTATTGTTGTTAACAGAATTCCACTATACCTAAAATACCAGAAAGCAAGTGCTCGCACTAATAGTGACAACCAGTAATTGTCTGATACCTTCAAAAAGACAGTTGAATTGCTACTTTATGAATAACTATGTCAATTTGTAAAGCTCGGGTCATTTTCAGGTTATATTTTATCTATTTGATCTTAATACTATTTTAAGATTTGTGATAACCTATACGTTGTTACGTATTATAAGGAAAAGTTTGAGAAACAGTAAAAAGTTCAAAAAAGTCAAAAATAAGATAAAGTTATTTGATGAACCATTTTTTAAAATTTTTTGTGCATTGTGCATTCACGACTTCTGCTAATGGCAGGATTCGAACCCAGAACCTTAGGTCATGCATGCCAATGCCCAACTTCTGGACCACTGAACGGTGATAATGATTTCTATATCTCTAACTGAAAACTATAATAGCAAAACCTTACCCGAAAAAATTGTGAACAAATGAGCTGTGAAAATATTTACTTTTCTTCACTGGATACTTCTTATATTAACAAGTAGTCGAATTTAGATAATAAGTAGGTACTAATTAATTCCGTTTAGATTGTATGTTTTTTTAAAAAAAACAAGATGCATTTCTAGAAAATATTAATACACAAATGATTAAACATAATTAATTGAAAGTTGTACTTTTTACATAGCATACTTATTTTTAGAATTACCGATTTGTAAACTAATCAGGCTGTTCGAATCAGATAAGCTTAATTCCAGTGTTAAAATCATGAAGAATTTGAAATGGCATTGTACGAAAAGTGGGTGTGCTTGATTTATATTCCTATATAACACAGTTTAAACAAACATACTAATCAGATTTCATGTTCATTTAAAATGTACTTTATCAATAGAAATCTACTAGAAAAAAATAATTTGCAAATACCAACCTTGTTGTATTTTCATGAAGAATTAATAAGGTCAGATATGGGTCACTAAAATGAGCATCTGGATACACGATGAAACTTGATGAAATATGAGAATGATTTAATACCAATATTGAAAGGAATTCTTTGTCTAGAATAACCCATTTATCTTGGTGATTAGAAATCGGTTGATTAGTTTCTGGCAGAAATCTAAGAAAATGTATATGGTTTATATATATATATATATATATATATATATATATATGTACGGTTTAGTTGTTTAGACTTATTTTTAACAAGGGTATGTGGTTGGAAACGAGACTTTTGATTGAAGTAAGATCTAAACTGATCACTTTTACGCTACTAAGCTGGCAATCTAGCTTCTTGGATTTAAGAATATTTTTCAACTTACTGTCTTCGATATTCGTTATCCCTTAATGGTTGGTAACAGTCAGTGGCAATACCATGTTAGTAATACTGAGGTCCAGCTATGTTTTTCTATGCAGTGGCAATAGCTTATTTCGTTTCTCCATCTTATAACACTCTTTTCCTTAACTTTGGGATGTACTATGAACATCATCCCAAAGAGTTTCACTTGTGGTATCGATTGCAGATATTGAGGCAGGGTGGAAAAATGAAAGAGTACTCAGTTTATGAAATATCGTCGTGATATAAGAGAAAGCTGGATAAAATTAACTCCTATCAGTTCATCACGACCATCTGATCCGTGTCCTGGAGATGGGTTAACTCAGTGACGTAAAACATTATCAAACGTGACTCATAACATAAGGTCAAGGAAATGTTTAATGTTGTTTTCCTTTAAATTCTTCATGAAAATCGAAAACAACTTCCTTGATGTAAAGAATTCTTCTGAATGCATTTCAGCAGAATGTTTCACCCATTACGTACTACTCTTGTCCATACATTTGATTTCCTGAATTGCACAGTGCTGTTTATTTCAGCATTCAGTTGCACGAGCATTCATACGTAATAAATAAATAAATAATTCAAGGCCTGATGATCAATCGACAAGGCTGCTAATAGAATATGAACCATATTACATCCATTTATCAATTAGTCTTTCATTTTGTTTGATTTGCATTCTCTTAGAGTGTAATATATGTGAACCATTCCTTTAAATTAAGGATATGCTAAGCGTACTCATTGCATGTAAAAGTGCATTTTGGATAACTGACTATAGGGTTTGTCTATTCCCTGGGACCTATCGGTGAGAAATTTGAACGTTCATGTAGTTTTGATGTTGCCACATTTACACATTTCATCTTTTACAAGTAATTATTTTGCTGTTGTGCAAATTGTTCTAAATGGACCTACTTGATGCCAAGCATAATCTACAAAATATTTTTAAAGTATGACTATTATCTCCGTCAAATCCCTGTATCTACGGAAGGATAGTGTTTCGACTCCAATCAAGTAAGTGACAAAATTATAAAACCTTAATAATAAGGTGAATAAATGATGCGTCACAATGTAAAAGTATACTTACGACCAGGATTTACATGATTTTTCAGTACAATCAGGGGATCCATTTAATTTGTCTGTCAAATCGTTCGCCTATATAAACAATAATATCAGAATAAATATAAAATCAGGAATATTATCGTACTGAAATCTCAACCAATTCTATTGGTTACTTTCATTAGAATTTATGCAATAGGATATTTGATAAAGAAGACTGAAACACAACCGAAATATATAAAAATAAAATTATTGAACCTATATCATAGGGTTGTAACATGGTAACCTGATTGTGAAATACTTAACAGAAATTTTATGACAAACGAGACTGGCAGAAATATTTATATGATCTCAATCTATTTACAATTAATGTCAGTTTGAATAAGTGCCAATTACACAGGTAATAATATTCTCCTATGTAGATGAGTGTTATCACGTAAAACCTGATTTTATGACGTACTTCTTATGCATTGTAGTCACTTAATCATGGTGAGAAATACTTTACTTCCACGAATCATATTTAAATTAGTGGATTATGATTTCATAATTGATCAAGCGAACCCTGTTTGTGAGACGTTGGTTATTAAAAGCCCAATAGGGATTTGTGAATGAATTTATTTCATACATTCGATAAGTAAAAGAATGAGAAAGAGAAAGGGAAGCGAAGCAAAATGAAGTGGATTAGACGAGTGGGCCAACTCAATCCGATTCGACATGACTAAATATTTATAGTCAAACAAAAATTAACTGAACACGTGAAAAGCGAAATAGGCAATGTATGGACAAGGTTATAAGCGAATAATTAACAGGTTCAAAAAACTTATGAATAATGACTCGTAAAGAACAAATTAATTAGTTTGTCTAAAGGCCAGGTAAAGCTATGTAGGCTTAACATATTAATATACACTACAATGTAATGAAATACAGTTTGTTACTTTTACACATTTTTCATCACCTTTTGAACTTTGAGTGTATTTTCACAGTTTTACAAATAATAATGTAGCTGAATTTTTGATATGACTATAAATTAGTGGTAAAATTAAAAGCCAATATAATTGATTTAATTGTAATTAAATTACAGGTGATGTTGGTTGCCTTTCTTAAATATTTAGTACATTGTTTTCACTATAGTTAATCCTGAACCAAAGGCCAAGATTGTTATATTTTTTGGTCATATGACCCAATCTTAATAAATAGTAGCAATAATAATAATAATAATAATAATAATAATAATAGTAATAATAATAATAATAGGTATGCTGTGTCTTATAAGCATGGACAAGCTTAAAATGCTTGTAGTCTTTGTTCCATTAGTATGTAACATTTACGAATTGCCTAGCATTAATTAATGGATTGTGAATGGTTCACACATTATGTTATGTTTCGTTTAGTTTGATACAATTGTAGATAAGTTATAATAATATCAAATCTGATTTTCCTTATAAATTAGAGAAAATAAAATAAACACAATATTCTTCTTTAAATAATGTTGAAATAACAGTTACTTTTTGCTTTTCGAAATCCTATTTTACCTGTTTTCTTGACAATCAAAGTTTCAATCAATTTCTTTTCATCAATCAAACCTTCAACAAAAATATTTATCTCGATTGAATTTTTCATGTTTTCAGTAACTCATTATAAACTTGGAGTCATTTGTTAAAAAAATCAATTCTCTAATCATTCACTTAATTTTCATGACTTTGATATTTTTTATTTTGTCAGATTGTCTTTACAACGTCAATTCATTATCTGTTCTACATGCTTATAGATAAAAGAAACAATTGTATTCTTAACCGTTACTTATTATCACCAGAGAATACGTGTTTTGAAATTTAAGTGCTACTGTTCTTATTTGTGGTTTTTTGTTGTAATAATTCATAAGAAAATTTAACTAAAACATTATCAAATAAAATTTTGCTTACCACTGACGGTGCAGAAGACTTTTTAACCATTTCAGCATTTTTAAATTCGTTTTTTTGGTGTAGCGAATCTTCAAACGGTAAGTATGATAATTTAGCACGATATGTTGGTTTCTCTGGTTGGCAGAAAAAGATTTTTTATATTTATAAGTATAAACACCAAATAATAACTTTATTATTCGAATTTAATGATTTAAATGGAAAGACTTCACTGAAAACGTTTCTTTCATATACTGAAATTCTGATCGAATATTAAAAATCTTTTATGGATTATAGTACAACTTGAGTATTTAGATGCCGCCGGAGTTAAATGCGGCTCAGTAGGTGAGGTTGAGTTGGTAAACAGGTTAGTCTTACAGTCCTTCATAGTTTTACAGATAGAATATTCTACGAACTCTTCAATAATATTTTTCCTCAAAGGTATTTTAAATTTCGTTACTGAACTAGCGTTGCTTCACTTTTGAAGGGTCTGGTTAAGTAGGTACACACTGAACAGAGACCTACTTCATAAGGGGGCGAGACTATAACAAATAGTAAAACGCAAATTGCTTAAGATGTCGCATTATTGATTTTTTGTATTCTAAATGCGTACTATACAATGGTTATTTGTTTATTCTTTTAAATAGAAAGTTCACTGCTAACATGGTTTCTAGTCATTTCAAATGTTTTACGGGGAACAAGATGAATGTTTGTTTATTCTCGGTATTGATGTCTTTTAACCACTTTGAATAAGTAAGTAAAATAATTGAACACCTTAACGTTATATAATGGCATTTTGACTAGACGACACATTGAACTAAAGTAAAGTAATAATAATACCTTGATGGGATTTATTCAACTAGGAACTTTTAAAGACTGTGCCATTATTCACTGGTTAAAAGTTTAGAAGCATAACAATGAAATATCTTGTTCCGTATTGTGAAACAACATAAACGCTTACTCATCAGATAGTAACATCCATAAAATAAAAATCTATTTTCACCCATCCAACGAAATCGTTCACTCTTATAATCCAAATCGGCAAAGAAACCCCATTCAATACTTTGAATACCATATCGATGAAATTTCACATCACCTGTTCCAAAATGTATTCCCGTCAAAGGACTGATGCAAGGTAAAACTGGTAAAGAAAAGTTGCAATACTGACTTTGACCAATGACCTGTTTGGATTGATGTTGTTGTATATTTTCAGTTGGTAACGTTAACAGAAAGGCACAGTGTGATAAAAGTGATGATTTGCCTAATAAACTAAAAAAAAATGTGAGGTTTGCACTAAATAATTTACTAATAATATTGAATGGTGATAGTTGTGTTTAGGAGTCGATGATTGTAGTCTTCATCACAAACTAATACTAACTGAAAAACTTTGAAAGTCGATGATCTTCTTTACATTTAAACATTTTATACAGTCCGTATCAACAGTCTTCCGTACGATCAATGAGTGACTTTCAGTGGTTCTTCAACAAGTGTCAGTTAGTGAATAAAGACCAACATATAATTATAAAAAGTCTCTGTGCAATAGCCTTTAGTGTTTTTATTGTTAATTGATTGTAAACCTTTACAAAAATGAAGTGAACCGAAGGCTGTTAAAAGACAGGTTGTGCAAAAGTTTGTAAGCTGCTTAATCATAGTTTTGGAGACCTAAAAGTAGACTAAACTGCTGTAATATGATGGGCAAAGAATTTGTTTCCGTACAGATATGTAACTCGGAATTAACTTACAACTGATGTTTGTTACCACAACCGAATATATTGTTTCTACTTTTTTATCTACAAGAGAGAAATTCGCAAGATGACAGTTCTTTCTTAATTTATTTACTATTTTCCCGCTGATGAAACCTCCATAAATCAAAAAAATATTTTTTACACAACACACATGTATATTAGGTGAAGATGTTGAGAATAATGCACACAATCTGGAATTTAAAGTGTAAAACACGTTTATAGAAAATTTCTAAGAATTAAATGAACAAATAGTAAATCTACATGTATTACATAAGTACACAAGGCAAACTGATTTAAAAAACACTATTATTACCCATAAAATCCTCTTTCTTCTGATATAATTTATTTTTATTTAAGTATGGGATATAGATTGTAAATGGCTTTGAAAATAAGAAATGGATATTGGTCAGCCGATAGATCAACAAATCATTGACCATTACTCGGTGGTAGCCAGGATAAATCTGAAGAAGCACTGGACAACGCGAGGAACAGCATCACAAAAGTTTAATACAGCATTTTTCAGGATACTGGTAAGCCTAACGAATTCAAAATAGGTCTCAGCAATGATTTCCAAGTCTGACGCAGTCTACTCAGTGAGAGCAACTAGAGAGATGTTTAGGAAGCAACAACTTCTAAATGTTATCAGGTTTTGGGTTACAAGAAGCGCCATCGCAAGGAATGGATCTCTGTGGATACACTGGTTGAGAGTCAAGAAAGAAAGAACAGAAGACAGCAATCAATATCAGCCGAACAACAGCCAAAAACGCCGAGGCACAATTGCGTTAGGATATTCATCAAATATCCTATTGGTTAATTCCTATTGGTCGTCCTAACTATCAATGTCACATACGTCAAATGTTATCTCCTATTCGACCTAACTGTATAAATATGCACTGTCTGTAACGTTTTATGATCCGGATCGTTTATCCGGGATCCTTATCCTCTTCTGGACTCGGACCTCGTACTTCCTGGATGTTTGTAGAAAACACATTCTACTTTATATCAAGTCTTCTTCTATTTACTGGGGGTTTGGAACGCTCGGATTAGAGCAGCCTATCGTGTCACCGGATCATCGATCCTTGCTCTCGTTCACCGACTAAGGTGAACTCGTAATAGTTCAAGCATATCGAATGACATGTTGAAGTGCATTCGTAACAAATTAAACTACACAGAAGGAAACAAGCGAATGAAGAGAAGCACACGAAATGTTAAGCGGAAATATGTGGAAGATCTAGCTATGAAAACGGTAAAAGCTGAATCTGAAAGGAACATGAGACAGTTATACGATACAAAGAAGAATCCAGTTTAGTAAACCAGAACGACCTCTCAAAAAACAAGAAGGTAAAACAATCGCTGACATTCAAAAACAGTACTCTAAAGCCATCTTGAGTAGACCAGCCTTACTGAACTCTCTCAGCATCAAAACAGAACCTGAAGACCTCCTAGATAATGTAGACTCACAAACAGGCTAAGGGATTAGCATGACTATAAGAGAGTGACAAAGCAGCAGGATTAGACAAAGAACCAGCCTGGGCATTCGAAACAGACAGCGGTAACTACACAGATGTTCCACGCTCTGTTCACCAAGATTAGGGAGGAAGAACAAGAGCTAACATAATGGAAACAAGGGCACCTCATCAAGATACAGCATGGGGATATGAGCAAGTGTAAGAACAACAAGACATCACTCTACTCTCGAAACCAAGACACATCTTCATCAGCGTAATGTTAAACCAAAAGAAAGTCATTAGACGCCCAACTTCCAGATCGCAGGGCTGGATTCATTACGGATCGATCATGTACCGACCAAATCGCGACACTATGGAACTATTGTGGAACGGCCAATCACTACATACCAACTTCCTTGACTACAAGAAAGTATTTGATAGCGTGGACACATATGAACAGCATCACAGTTAGAAAAAGTCGATTTGATTCACATGCAAACACATGGATTAGCAAAGTAAAAGCAGCATTTCTACGACTGAAGAACATTTTGAGCTCAAAACAACTATCAACCAACACCAATATCAGGATTTTCAATACAAACATCTAGACAGTTTTGTTGTACGGAATGGAAACTTGGAGAACTGCGAAAACCACCATCAAAAAGATCCAAATATTTGTAAACAGTTCTCTGCGCACCGCACTTCCGGTCTGTTGGTTAGAAACTATGGGAAACAACCTATTGTGGGAAAAGACAAAGCATATTCCATCTGAGGAATATATAAAGGTAAAAGCACTGGAAGTTAGTAGGAAACCGATTGCGGAATTCATCTGACTGCATCACGAGGCAAGCTCTAACTTGAAACTTTCACGGCTAAAGGAAAACAATTAGGTCAGGGAACAAACTGCGCCCACAAATGGAGATGATTATGAGAAATTGAATCATAGTTGTCTGGAACTGTAAAAGGAAACTCAGGAAAGAGTTGGTTGGAGAATCATGATCTTCAGCCTATGATCCACTAGGGGTAACAGGAGTAAGTAAGTTAGTAATCAATGATAAACACCACATCTAACTTGTTTTGAATTTTCAAACTTTAATTACCCAGAACAATAACAAATTGAAGCAGCAGTTGCATTACCACTACCCCCCGGGATAACTCCGATCGGTGTTATACCCTCTTTAATAATTTCATCATAATCTTTTCTTGATATAAGTCCATTAACTGCTTCATACACTAGTCCATCGCCTGAACACACGACGATTGCACGATAGCGTAAAAGATTTGCTTTGGGTAAATTTGTGATGAAATTTTCGGCATGGCCTGAATATTCTAAATGGTAGAAATAAGGCGTAAAAATTGGCATTTTAAGTAATTCATGCAAATATTAACTGTTTACGGTTAATAATGAAGGCAAAGTTAAATATTCAGGTATAAACTGCTGTGTGAACTTTTGATGATGAACGATCATCTCAATAAAGAATACTGAAATAGTGAAAGATCTACTAAATGAGGAAGACTTGCTTTTTAAAATGAATCATTGTAAGGATAGTTAGTGAGTTTGGTAACAATTAGTATTAGACCATTTAATATATACAGTGACCTTTGTTTATTTCTCTTGGTAAATCATTTTTACTAAGTCAGTGTAATTTTTTAATCAACCATTAGTCAAAAAGCATTATTTTTGTCAGTGCATACTGACCAGAGTTTTGTTCTAAAATCCATCCCTGTGGTTAATAAATTCAGCTGTGAATTTCAGTCAGATTATTTTTGCAATCCATGAATATGAGTTTTGTATTTACTAAAATTTGTCAATAAATAGTAGATCTGACTCTGGTGAGATATACTATTTTTTTAAAGTCTTAACGTTTGAATGGTAAATGTCTGTCGAAAGTTAAGGTAAGTTAGGATCAATCTATTTATTGAATAACTTGATATTTGTTCAGGAAATGGTTATTTAAGTCCAGATTAATAAGCAGTTCTATCTGTTCAGTGAGCAGATCCCTCAGATAATATCAGTAAATTCAGATTTTATACTTTCAAAAGAAATATTTGATTTTATTATAATCAAAATTATGTTTTGCGATATGGTATAAATAATTTAGCATTACGTTTTCGACATAAATGTAAAATGTTCATCATAATTATTTAGAGTTAAGTTATTGAGAATATCTCTAAACGCACCATCCCATGTTGATCCAAACTTTGAAAATTCCATAATTTTTACTTTAAGCAGTGTTTACTGAATAGAAAAAATTTCCATTTTAATTCCTTTATTACTCTCAATAAGTTTACTAGTTTAATTATAACCAATTACTGGTAAATGTGTTTTTAAAGTCTCAAATAAAATGAATAAAGACGATAGAATGTGGCAGTTATTTACATCACTTGATTTTCTCTTGGTGATAATTAATTTGTTTGTCATTAACCACATACTTACTTACTTACTTACGCCTGTTACCCCCAATGGAGCATAGGCCGCCCACCACTTTTCTCCAACCAACTCTGTCCTGGGCTTCCCTGTCCAGTTCTGTTTAATGTTTGTTCAATCTTCTCATATCTTTCTCTATTTCTCGACGTAATGTGTTCCTTGGCCTTCCTATTTTCCTTCGAACTTGAGGGTTCCAAGTGAGGGCTTGTCTTGTGCTTTTCGTAGCGTGCGTTCTATCCACTTCCACCACTTCTTCCTGATTTCCTCCACCGTTGGAATCTGGTTTGTTCTTTCCCACAGTAAGTTGTTGCTGATGGTATCTGGCCAACGAATCCGAAGTATTTTGTGTAGACAACTGTTGATAAATACTCGAATCTTCTGAATGATGGCTTTCGTAGTTTATTTTCAAATCTCTACCTCATAAGGTAGAACTGCTTTGACATTTGCATTGAAAATTTTGAATTCAGTGTTGATTGATATTTGTTTGGAGTTCCAGATATTTTTCAATTGTAGAAACGCATCCCTTGCTTAGCCCCCACATCTTCATCGGATCACCTTGGCTGTCGATGACGCTGCCAAGATATGTAAAGGTGTTAACGTCCTCCGAAGAATCTCCATCAAGAGTGATTTGGTTGGTGCATGTTGTGTTGCATCGGAGAAGTTCGCTTTTCCCTTTATGTATGTTGAGACCTACTGCTGCAGAGGCTGCTGCTACACTGGTTGTCTTTTCTTGCATTTGTTGTTGCGTGTGCGATAGAAGAGCCAGGTCATCTGCAAAGTCCAAATCTTCCAGCTGCGACCTAGCTGCCCATTGAATACCGTGCTTCCCTCCATATGTTGACGTCTTCATAACTCAGTCTTTCACCAGTAGAAATAGAAAGGGTGAGAGTAAGTAACCTTGCCTGACACCGATCTTCACCTCAAACGAGTTTGTCAGCTGACCTCCGTGCACGATTTTCCACTTAAAACCATCGTAAGAATTTCGTATGATGTTGACTATCATCTCAAGCACTCCGTATTGTCGAAGAAGCCTCCACAGTAGTTTCCTGTCCACGCTATCGAATGCTTTCTCGTAGTCGATGAAGTTGATGTAGAGTGATGAGTTCCATTCAATTGATTGTTTGACAATGATGCATAATGTTGCAGTTCGGTCAGTACACGAACGATCCTTAAGAAATCCAGCCTGTTGTGCGTCTACAAAGTCCTTCATTCTGTTTAACAATACCGTATTGAAGACTTTGCCTGGTTTTGAGAGAAGAGTGATTTCTCTGTTGTTCTCAAACTTTCTGAGATCGCCTTTCTTTGTTACTTTGATGAAGTATCCTTCTTTCCAATCTGATGGTACTTGTTCCTCATCCCAAATCTTCTTGAAGAGGATGTGAAATATTTTCGCAGTTGCTTTCACGTCTGCTTTCATTGCCTCTGCTGGAATGTTGTCTGGTCCTGCTGCTTTGTCGCTCTTGATTTGACTAGTGGCCATACTGATCTCTTCAATTGTAGGTGCGTCAACATCGACTGGGAGGTCCATAGATTCTGGTTCGACGTTTGGTGGGTTCAGTGGAGCTGGTCGATTCAGAAGTTCCTTAAAGTGCTCTAACCACCTATTTCGCTGTTCCTCAATGTTGCCTTCCTTGCTTTACACTAGTCGTTCTGGTTTATGATTATTATTATTATTATTACTTATTGCCGAGGGTTATCTTGAATTCGTTGAGTTTTGCGGTATACCACAGAAAGGCCGTATTAAACTTCTGTGATGTTGTCTGCCCCGTTTTCCAGTGCTCCTTTAGTTTCAGTTTGATTTTGGTGATCAGAAAGTGGTGATCTGAGGCTATGTCAGCTCCTCTCTTGGTTCTTACATCCTTCATGGTACTTCTGAACTTTTTATTGTTATCGATTTGGTTCTGAGTAGTGTGATACGGTGAAATCCATGTAGCTTTGTGTATGCGCTTGTGTTGGAATATTGTGCCACCTATGACCAATTCGTTGAAGGCGCATAGGTTTGCAAATCTCTCACCGTTTTCGTTCCTTTCTCCTAGTCCATGTCGTGCCATGATGTCTTCATATCCGGTGTTGTGCATTCCAACCTTTGCATTTAGGTCTCCCATTAAAATCCTCGAATCTTTTGGTGAGCATCTGTCGACGATTGACTGCAGCCTTTTGTAGAATTGATCTTTAACGTCGTCATTGCAGTCATTGGTAGGTGAATAACATTGGATGACATTCATTGTAATGTCCTCTTTCTTTGTTTTGAAGGATGCTTTAGTGATTCTGTATCCACGAGATTCACATCCTATCAGTGCCTTTTGTGATTGTTTGGACAGCATCAGTGCAATTCCTTGTGTATTTGAAGCATTTTCCTCTTCATGGTCAGAGTACAACAGCAGCTCTATTGGTTTTTGTCTCTCTCTTATTTGTCTAACCTGCGTCCAATGAGTTTCACTGATTCGAAGCACCTCAGAGTGGTATCTTTTCATTTCTGCAGCAACTTCAAGTAATCTTCCAGTCTCCCACAATGTACGAACGTTCCATGTACTTAAAAGAGTGGTTGCTCTGGTTGTCAGAAGAGGCATCGGCCTCATGACTTCCGAGAGGACTTGGCTTTCATCACGAGACGTCATAATTCTTCTTCCAACTCCCAGGGCAGAGTGAAAATGGTTCGAATTATTTGGTCTTGTTAGCGTTTGTTTAGCAAGTTAGTTTTTTGGTGGGATGGGGTCGCCAACCCCATGCCCAACCCTCCTCGTCTATCCGGGCTTGGGACCGGCAGTAGCCCCGAAGGGTCTACAGACGGAGCTAATAACAAAACCTCCTTATTCAGAAATCAAAAGAAAAACTTGAAATGATAAATTATTAGACATACTAAAAACGAACTCAGATTGGTTAAATGCAGTATTATTAAACGATCACTTTACTGATATTAACTTTTAAAGAAAAAAGTTTCACACATGATTAATAGACAAAGTGTTCACAATGTAAGTTTGTACTAGGCTCTCTTCAATTCCTAAAGAAATAATAAATTTCACTGAATTACTGTTGTTATGTGTTGAAGTTACCAAAAACTTGAATCCGAAATCTATTTGCATATCTTTTCCTAATGTTTAGTAATGAGCAGAATATTTCGTCGCCGGTCATATATAACTTATTGGGTATTCTGAAGTGACGAAAATTTTTGTCAGTAGACATATCTGTTGATTGAATTATCTTTAAAATAAAAAGGTGGAGTATAATTCATCAATCCGTCACTAAGGTAATTTTATGGAAATTAATTTATTTTGGAGATCTTTTGTGATGGACTGATTTCAGCTAACGAACCACTAAAAATCAGTGAGCATCAAACCCATGTTTTGACTTCGTTCACAATGTTGTCCTTGACGTTGGTACATTCATGATTTCATAAGGGATCATATTCACAGCTTTCAGCGGGGTAAGATAGCTACTTAATAGTCCAAGACATTAGCTTTATCCAGTTTTTGAGATGGATTGATTTTCATCTGATTCAGTTGATCAGTTAGAAATTTATGGGCAGAGTTAAAATGATTTAATTTATTTTTTCCGGTTAGCGTTTTTTTGGAAAGTTAGTTTTTTGGTGGGATGGGGTCACCAACCCCATGCTCAACCCTCCTCCTTTATCCGGCAGTAGTCCTGAGTTCACTTACCTTATAGCAAAATAAATTTCTATCAAGGAATATGAGGTTTTGTGAAATACCTTAAACATCTCGATCATTATAATAAAGTATGTTTGTTAAATGAAATGAGACAAAAATTAGTTACCTGTACAAAATAGTTCATACGAAACATTCATTTGTTTCCAAATGGGAGCAATTTTGAAGTTGAACCTATTTAGAGCATCCCCCGATCCACTTTTTGGATTTATTGCAACTAAGTATGGTTTGGCTAAAACAGCAAATGAGCAAATTAAATTCTGTTAGAATTCCGCCGCAGTCTAATTATGAAGAACTTTATGCTCTTCAGAACAAATTCAAGTATTTAGTTATAAATTAAAACATAATTAAAGCATGATTTTACTATTGTTTTCATTGGAAGCACTGGACGGCCGTTTCATCCTGGTATGGGACTCATCAGCAGTGCGCATCCACGGCTCCTGCTAGTCGCAGGATTCGAGCCAGAACCTTCGATCTTGTGTGCGAAAGCCTAACCTCCGAACCAGTGAGCCGGTATCTAACGGTGTTAGGGTCTAACTTCGTTCAATTCACGGTATGCGCAACCTCATACACTGTCTGCGGTAGTTATTGTCTACATCCGAACAGGTTGAACTTCACTAGTCAAAACTTTTCATTAGAACTCGGAGAAGATTTTCCAGTGGGCTATTCACGACTGGGCACAGGTAATTTCTTTACGCGATTGTGAAGATTGTTAAGTTACTCATTGAAATAGTGAATCGATCAATGTTAGTTCGAAGTGTTGGTGATTTAACCAACTGATTTATCGGATTGACTTGTCTTAACTAACAGTAAAAAGAATAGCAATACATATCCCGATCTCTAAAAATTATTTTTCCTGTCAATTTATTTGGTTGTAATGATTTCTACAAGGTTGCGTGAGTTACTTTAATTTAAATAAAGACTAAAATGCGAAAATGCAGAATACCTATTTGATGCAGAAAAAAATTTTTCGACGAGTTTAATGAGTCAGTCAGTTACGACCTACAACTTCGTACGTTCGCACATCAGTTCAAGTTGATATACCACATTAGCACAGAGAGGTGGAATTGTCAATTTAAATCCCATAGTAGTAGAGATGGTAGACGTATTAGCAGTAATCAGAGAGATTAGAGTTTGGAGATATTAATGAAGAAGTAGAATCTAGCGAAATGAACTTAAAAAGGGAAAGGAAAAGGTGATGTAGAATCCAGAGGTTTAGGATTTGATAGAACACAAAGAATGGATGCACTTGCGCCATTGCAAACGGTTTGAGCCATGTTGTTCAAGGTCTCTAACCATCTATTACTACCATTTCGCGGACCCCATCTATCCAACATGACTCAATCCAGTTGTCAGTGATTTCATGGATTTGTGCCATGTTTCGGACTGGCCGCCCCTAGGTTCCTTCCAACCTAGTCCTACACTGCATTACATATCTCGACGAGGCAGTTGGCGGTTACTCATTTATAACACACGTGCTAACAAAAAGTGTAGTAGAACTGTCAAGTATCGACTAACAAATAGCAAGTACTTTACCATCGTTTGAGTGGCCATTTTGGAAGAGAACCTCAATCGTTTCCATGCATCCAGTCGCGTCCTGAGCAGATGAGAAAAGTATATCAAGACTTGTTTCTTTGAGAGCTCTTAGATCCATTTTCTTCTTGTACACCTGGCAAAAGATCATTTATCCAAATTATTGTCTACTTTTTTTATTTTGAAGTAACTCAGTTTTAAGCATGCATTTTGTTTTGGATCACTTCTTAATATAATTCCTTTCTTGCATCCGATTACTAGGTTCTTATGAATATAAATTTTATTAGGCAAAGAGGAATTTTTCGCCACAACACATATTCCAAGTTCATTCAGATAAAGCGTAGACTGCATTCGACGAAAGGATGAAAACGTACAGACATCGTAAGCTGTATAAAAGTTTTCTTGCATTTCTATAAAGTAAACCCAATAGATATTTGTATTAGTCTAACTTGTTTTGAAATGAAGAAAAGATTATATTCTTAAAATAATGTCCAACATTGTTTTGACAAATTGGATTAATACTTTTTTATTAAATAATTTCAGCATTTAATCAGGCATGCCTCTTGACATAGTACATAAATACTGCTGCACATGATGATTACATTTCTCTAGTTCTTAAATATTATAGTACGAGTTATATACATCACATATACACAGCGAACTAAAACTTAAAATTCCATTATTTCAGCTATTACTAACAAGCTATCCTTCAAGGTAGTATGTGATGAGAGAGTGGTCTTTAGCTGGAGAAGCGATATCAAATATAATAAATATGTCTTAAGTTAACGACTTATCGCTTTTACTTTCCATTATACATGTTTGATGGTGACTTTATGACTACGTAAAAAATTAATAAAATGCTATCAAAGAGTAGTTAGGTCGGAAGGCTTATAATACCTAAACATTATGGTTGTAGTAGCGTGGCAGAAACTAGCATAATAAAAGGAAGCTAACCAGTTAAGATAGTAAATTTGTACTTATTGTTTGAATGAGTATAAAGAAGCCTAACATACTTCACTACTGCAGCTAACCCCTTAAAGCGGTAATCAGGTAGAAGTTATTCTCTAGTAGTAAAAGACAGGATTTTGCCTTCTGGTGAAGATATATTTTACAGCACACCAATTTGTATTATGCTGATGGCCGTACTTACATGAAATCAGATGTGTGATCATGAAAAACAAGTTCAACTGGTAGAATCTCTAGCAGCAAACAAGTGTGATTCCTTATGCACCTAAAAGACGCCGACAGTACACCTGAATAAAATATATGTATTAAGATCAAATTGTTGACTGATTTATTTGTTTTCACGTTTGGGACCCAAGTAACTGGCAATAAAATTAAAGAACGCCTCGCACTCATATAGCAGAAATAAGTTTATACAGTTAGTATAAGGAATATTTTTATAATTCACCAATGAAGAAATGTCAAGGTTCTCAACTTTACATATTTTATCTAATGGTAGCCAAAGTACAGAAACGCCTGTAAGTTGTATAAATTAACTTTTGTTTGCAGGATGTTTAACTTTGCCCTTCTATGATCTCACTTATTCCAATCTCATAAATTTGTTGATTGATTGTCGATTTATATCGTGTTGGTCTTGATACCAGAGAAAAATCTAAGATATAAGTGAATACGAAATTTTACTAACATAGAGGTTATTATGAATGACGTACAGAATATTAAAAACTATCAGTTTACTCAGAAACTTAGAACTGGTTTCAAAAACAACACTGAATGATTATGCACGGCTGAAACGTTCTAACAAAAATAACTACACTACTTCAAAATTTAGTATTAGTTACTTTGGGAGATGACTTCAGTTTTTGGGTACATAATGAAAACAGTAAACACAGTGAGAAAAGATAAAACAGCTGTATGATTATCTGTTTAGAAACTGGTCTCCTTACTGTTTCATCATGTCGCGGTTAGGGGTGAAAACCTGTTAAACCAGTATACTTAAGAAACTACATATGTTTTTGACAGTACTCACCACTATATGGTATAGATTTTTAGCTAAAGAATATAAGATTTTACGTAGTGATTTGTTTCTTCTGATTTGAGAACTTCCGTGGGAGCCCAACGGTAAGATCATAATTTTCAAATAATCTACGTCACCTAATATCTCCTAAGTCCTGATGAGGTTACAGCAGATTATCGTGAGCTGAGGGGGGAAATCTTCGGATTATGATCTCTGAAAATTTGATCCAGTGTGTTAAGAATACGTTTATCCAAGTCATTTCGTGTTTCCAAAACAGATTCAGTACCTGTTGCAAATAATAGCCTCAAAACTAAAATGTCTATAAAAGTTCCTGGAAACTGCAGGTCGAAAAACGGAAGCATATCAGGTTATCGTTATCATATCTATCATTTTTAACACTTCTGGTTATTGAAGTATATTTTTAACACCTCCAATTCAACTTTCAACAGTTTAAGCTTTTTGTTGATGTATAACCCATCTGAACAATAACTTCACTGGGTACGAGAAAGAATTTGACAGCGTGGACAGGAAACTACTGTGGAGGCTTCTTCGACAATACGGAGTGCTTGAGATGATAGTCAACATCATACGAAATTCTTACGATGGTTTTAAGTGGAAAATCGTGCACGGAGGTCAGCTGACAAACTCGTTTGAGGTCAAGATCGGTGTCAGGCAAGGTTACTTACTCTCACCCTTTCTATTTCTACTGGTGAAAGACTGAGTTATGAAGACGTCAACATATGGAGGGAAGCACGGTATTCAATGGGCAGCTAGGTCGCAGCTGGAAGATTTGGACTTTGCAGATGACCTGGCTCTTCTATCGTACACGCAACAACAAATGCAAGAAAAGACAACCAGTGTAGCAGCAGCCTCTGCAGCAGTAGGTCTCAACATACATAAAGGGAAAAGCGAACTTCTCCGATGCAACACAACATGCACCAACCAAATCACTCTTGATGGAGATCCTTCGGAGGACGTTAACACCTTTACATATCTTGGCAGCGTCATCGACAGCCAAGGTGATCCGATGAAGATGTGGGGGCTAAGCAAGGGATGCGTTTCTACAATTGAAAAATATCTGGAACTCCAAACAAATATCAATCAACACTGAATTCAAAATTTTCAATGCAAATGTCAAAGCAGTTCTACCTTATGAGGTAGAGATTTGAAAATAAACTACGAAAGCCATCATTCAGAAGATTCGAGTATTTATCAACAGTTGTCTACACAAAATACTTCGGATTCGTTGGCCAGATACCATCAGCAACAACTTACTGTGGGAAAGAACAAACCATATCCCAGTGGAGGAGTAAAAAATGAAGGGGTGATGGATTTGGATAGGAGACAATGTGGAAAGCACCTGACTCCGTCATAATACAAGCCCTAATTTTGAACCCTCAAGTTAAAAGGAGAAGTGGAAAGCCAAGGAACACATTACGTCGAGAAATAGAGAAAGACATGAGAAAAATGAACTAAAGTTTTGTAGAATCGGGAAGGCAACCCCAGGACAGAGTTGTTTGGGTAAAAGTGTTCTGTTACCTACGCTTTACTTGAAGTAAGAAGCGAAAGTCAGCAAACAAGTAATTTCTATGTTACGCGATATAATCTATTGTGGAACAGGTTACCAATTACTATCCATATCTGTGAAACAGTCACCAAGTTCACGAAACTAGTAATGCTGTTGCTAGACTCTAAAAGACTTATCGACTATTCCCTAAACTCGCACTCCCGAGGCACTCTTATATGGTCCACCAGATATTTAGACAAACCTTAGAAACTAATAACAGGTGATGAACATTTTTTACCGGCTTTACCATACATACAGGTATCACGAAACGATAAACGAATCCTTCTGCTCTAAACAAAAGTACCAAGTTACACCTTTGAGGTGCTACCCGTGAAATTTGGACTTTTTTTAAAATGAATTTCTAATCATTATTTTCTGATCTTCACAGCAGTTTTAGTTTTTATTTCTAGTAGGCAGAGAAACTGAAAAGCCTGTAGGTGCTGATCAGCTACTGTCAGTTACAACGAAACAAACGCTCTGTATCATTATGTGTACATTCTTGTTTACGTACTCACAGTTTAATAAATTATTTCCCCAATAATTAACATCCAGACACCTTGTCTGCTTACCAACTTATCACTTTACTCATTAATTTTTAACACTATTTCAACTCTTTTTTCTCCAGCTGCCTATCCTTCCTATCTACAAACTTCTTATTAACTGATACATATTTTACAATTTATACCATTAGTTCACTTACAATCAGTGTGATATGCTACGTGGATATTTTGCTCTACATGCAGAAAGCAAAGTTATCTGGTTCGCTTGTAACTTGGAGCTAGTAGAGAAAGTGTATTCCGTCAATGGCCGTAGAACAAAAAAGGTTGTTTAAAATCTACCGTTAAACCTAAGAGAGCCTCACATCACAAAAAGAGTGAGGGTGGTGTATCTGAGCAGTTACCTTGAACTACCCAAGTCTGTGGGGCAGAACATTTTGTTTGCTTTTGGCTCCTTACGACACAGCAGGATGCCACTAATCAGTGATATTGATGTAACATTTTATTGTTAACCACGACTATGAATCATGCTTGTAACCTTCCTGTAACTTCCTGCCGAAAATCCTATTGCAAAACAGATCTCGACAATTATACTGAAAAAGAGCTGACTCATGACTTCTTCAGCTACAGAGTTAAAAGGAAAAATGATTAATAAAACGTCTGAGTTTTAACTATTCATAAGATTAATTGCCCATTCGTTATATTACTAGTGACTTGTCTTCATTAAGCTACATCATTTCAGGTGTACAGATGGTGTTCTAATTTTAAAAAGTATCTGATAAGTAATTTTTCGTCTTGAAACAACAATATTTTCTGTTCTGTTGTTCGCCCCAATCTCTTTATTTTCTTTTTCAGCACCTTATTCCAGCCCTAAATATTAGTCTGGATTTTTGCTAAAGACTTGGTCAATTTTTTTCACGAGGCCTATGAATTTGTTATCTGAAGAATATCACCTGGATCTCAGCACATTTACCTCATCAGTTCTTGTTATACGCAGAGCTGGCTCTGTAGAATTCATTTTGAATGCTTTGTTTCGGGAAAATCCCTCCACGTACATATTTGTAATATGTTCTTACTGAC